GAACTAAGATCCTGCATGCCAGATGGCACAACAAAAAAAAGCCCTCCCCTACACAACAAAATTTTCAGTAATAGTTTTTTTAATGCATAGTAATGGCAGGAAATGCAGTGAAAATATTACCTTATTGAACTACAAATATATAATCATTTCAGGAAAAAAAAAAGTGCAAACGGCACAATAAAATTCTTAAATATCTCCCAAAGATACAACGAAGGCAGCTACTAAACTGTGCCAGTAATAACTTTTCCTCACTTGTGTTTTAGTTCTGAGACAAGTTTCAATTTGAAAGATATTCAAATGCAATAAACTATCTCAAATATAAAATTTTCACTTATGAAACAATATTAAGATTTGTAACACTCACTCTGCTTCACTCCTGTACATTTTAAACACAAGAACTCCAAGTAGTCACGCAGAGTGACAGAATTAAAGTAACCCAAGTTCTGATTCTTGGTGTTTCGTTGTTGTTGTTGTTTTTTACCACCACTCTCCTATCATTGCTGATTCCAAATCAGCTGTTTAAATGAGCTATTAAATAGTACTACAGAGACTGGACACACAAACTGGACCCAAGATTAGCTTGAACAATGCCAAATCTTTGATTTTAGTCTCAGAACCAATTTGCGTACTATGTGCTGAGGACCAACTATATAACTGGGAGCTGTCTGAATTAAACTCCATGTTGAATACAATCTTTATTAAACAAGTCATTAAAATGCACTAATTTGAAGCTTTCATGGGTATTATTAAAATGCCACAGTGACTGCAAGAATTTTTTAGACAAAGGGAAGGATTTTGTGGAGAAGAAGTAACATTAACAGATATTGTTTATAATTGCCAGTGCATGGTGATAATAAAACCAGACTGACTAAAGCCGATTTCTGAAGGAAAACAACATCTTTATTGTCAGTGCCCTGGCCACGTGGCCAGGGAGGAGTTGGGCATGACCACTGCCCACCCTGACGATGCCACTGAAACAAAAAAGACCCAAGAGGACAGAATCAAGGCCGACGGGACAAATGCAGAGATGAACAAAAGCAAACAGATAAATCCTTGGGAGTGACGAAATCAGAAGTCACCTTCAAGTTCAAAACACAACACATTTAAAGTGCCAAAAGGCTGCTGGAATGATTAAAAATTCTGGGAAGAGAGCACAGGCATTGAGAGGTCAGGACTCTGGTTGAGAATACGTGCCTAGTCTAGAGCCTTCCCTCTAAGAAAGAGCCATGAACTTAGAGGTCATAACTGACCCACCAGATAGCATACTGGATTCTATGAGAAAAAGTTCATGAACTTCTATTTTGCATCCTGGAAAGATGACAAGCTATGTAAATCAGATCCTCTACCCCAGACAAGTGTCTTACCTGAACTGTGACAAGTGAGAAAGATGAGATACGCAGTTTCGCTATGAAGACAAACCTGAAGACGTCGAGGCAGTGAAAACTTGCTGGATCAGCTGAATAGAGCAGAAGCTCTCCTGGTCTCTTGCACACGTGGATAGGCTGACTTCTCACCTAAGCCTCCTGAGAGACATCAGGACAAAGTGGAGAGAGAGAGGAGTCCCACAGGCTAGGAGGGATCCGTAAACAAACCGCTGGACTAGAGCAGGTTGTTTGGCCTCCCACATCTCCTTAGTTTCCTTATCTGTAAAACTGGTGAGGCTGTTGAAGGAACTAAAGATAACACGCACAGGGCTCCAAGCAGAGTGCCGAACAAAGGGAAGGCAATTACCACCTGGTTACCATCATCTTCACTATCAAACTTCAAAGCAATTGACACAAAGAGGTCTTTCTATGGCTGGTGAAAATCTCAGCCCATTCTCCCTGTAACAGGGCCCTCAAATGCTACAGGGACTGCTTGGATGATTGGATAAGCTTCCTAAGCGTCATTTCTCCCACTGTACAAAGACATAAACACAGTGGTCCTACCTATGGCCTATGACAATCACATACTTAACTGATTGTGAAGCAAATTTTTATTAATTAATTCATCTTTCACAGTAGGAACATGATGTACCCTATCCTCACTCCCCATCCCAAGAACCAGAAGTGAGGGGGTTTCCCAATTGTGTTAAATAGCCAGTTCCTCCCACATCATCTCAAGACTCTAGGATAACGAATGTATACTTAGCCCAAATCATCTCCAGGACGGAGACTCAACTGACAATAATAACACAATTTTACAGCTGAACATGACTCCAAAGCCAGGTGAGACAAGCAAAAAACTGTCTTCAACCCGCGGTTGCCTTTTTATGACAATCACCAACTGAAGACAGAAGAGCTTTTCTGTCATTGGCTTTGAAGGACTAGAAGAGACTAACGCTTGGGACCCCTGAAAAGCTCTTAACGCGAGAGTGAGGCGGACATTTACAAATCACTTAGTGCACACAGCCCCACCAATACACAAAAGAGGTGCTCACTGTCCCTCTCCTGGTGGTAATTTATTTTTTCTGAATGGGAGATTGTGGTCTCATAAAATGCCTCACTAATGCTTCTGCTCAAGTGGTTTTACACTCTGGCTAAACAGCAGAAGAAAAGGAAAACACTGGTTTTTGAGGGGAGGTTGTGTTTTATTTTTGGCAACCTCTAGTACAGAAGCAGGGATTCCTACCAGAACACGTCCCTCACAGCCTATTTTCTTATACAACAGGCCTCATTGAGACTTTCCTCCCCTAATTTGAACTGGCTCCACATTTTCCTCTCTTGTCACTGAATACAGAACTGCGTTAACAAAAAAACACAGGACTGGTGTATTACCTACTAATCATGTTCACTGCTTCTCCACACGTATATTCACAGAGTTATGCCATAGTAACTTTTCACACAGCCATCATGTTTCAGGTTTTGATTTTATATTTATATATTACTTACACTTTCCAAAGTATTTCCATCTGTAATTTCACTTGATTGGCAGACCACTCAGTTTTATCCGGGGCTTCACTTGTGGCTCAGATGGTAAAGAATCTGCCTGCAACGCAGGAGACCCAGGTTCAGTCCCTGGGTTGGGAAGATCAACTGGAGAAGGAAATAGCAACCACTCCAATATTATTGCCTGGAGAATTTCATGGACAGAGAAACCGGGTGGGCTACAGTCCATGGGGTTGCTGAGAGTTGAACACAAGTTAAGAGCAACTAACACTTAACTCTTTCAGTTTTATCTAGACAGCTGGCATCATCCCCATTCAGAGAGGGAACACAGAAATGCAAAACACTCTACTGAAGTTCAACTAGGTCTGCACTCCCAAACTCAAGTTTAAGTTTGAGACTGAGAACCCCTGCATTTTACCCGGAAGTGGCCTGTTAATAAATTCTTAACTAGCTGACAGAATAATTCTTTTAAGCTTTTTTCTAATGTTAGTAGTGCAGAAGAAAGCTCTGCTTTGACCTCGGCTGGCTGAAGTTTTCTTTGGCACAGTAAATATCAAAGCAATGCCAAATTGATAGGTAAATGGCACAAGCCATGTAAAATATACTTAATAAGGCTGTTTAACTTTCTTAAGGGGTTTTCATATTGTACATGCAACTGTTTATATGTTGCTCAGAGAGTCATAGAAGGCAACAGACAAGAGAGTTGAGGACGGGGATATGAGTCTTGCTTATGGGTTTGCGGTGAGGTTCCTGCCTGATCCCTGCAAGAGGAATGCAGAGAAGAATGCAAGGAGGAGTCCCAGCCCAGCTCACCTCACTCCTGTCACTCTGCATAACGCAGTGCTAGCGTCCAAGCAAAATGTCCAACATTTCCAAGAGTGCTATTCACCATATGTGCATCTGCCTTAATCATATAGTGGTTCTGACACCTATATTAATGCGTTACAAAAATTGGACATTTGTTAACATTTCTGAAACGGACTGGTCTGCCAATAACTGCTTTTCTTTTTCTACACAAATTTGTTATTTTGAAATAAAAGGGTACAAATGTGAAAAATTAACCTCCCTAGCATAGTTAAAAGCTTATACTAACGTGTCATAAGGACCGTCTGCGATTGCATAAGTGATAACCACAACAGGCATGCCTTCTTCAAATCTACTTACAGTCTTCAGTGTTACATGGGATACACTATGAATTTCCATGCTTTTAATGTCTAGTGACATAAGGCTCACTATCTATACCATGTAATCCCACACCACAAGAAAGGGAAGATTTCTGGTGGAAGAAATCACTGTTTTTTTATTTAAAGGAAGTTACCTATTGTATACTTAAAAAGGAATAATTCTGTATCCAAGAAAGAAAAATAAGGGATCTAAACCATAAACTTATCCTGCCAAAGAAAGCAAGCAGTACATCACAAAAATCACACACAAAAATATAAGGCATGTTATAAAATAGAATGTTGTAACTCATTGATAACTCACTGATAAAAATACAATTTACAAGTGTTTTTATTATGTAATAAAGTGTACATGAGTTTAGTTATAATGTTACCTATACATTTTTACTAGTCAAAAATCACCTGTCCCAAATATCCCGAGGCAAACACATGAATGTTCAACAGCTGCACAAGTTACTGACAAACTTTCTGCTTTGCCCATATTCGCCTAATTTCTTAATTTAGAAAAAGAAGATTTCTGCGCCTGCTTCCACCGGAAGATGCTACAGGCCAAGAAGGTCTGCTTCCCTTGGCAGGCTTGTCCTCCCCGCCACAGCCCCGGCCCTAAGCACCTCGGGGTAGTGATCCCACAGCACCCCCAGAGCCCCTGCACACGGAGCCCTGTAAGCGAGACCGGAATGACACACCTCACTATACAGCACCTTGCTTAAAACAGGGCCCCGTGTCTTATTTTCCTAACTTGTTTAATCTCAAGGGACCTCAGGCTTGATGTTAAAAAAAAAAATGCATTCAATTGCATAAATACATAGGAAATAAGAATTCCCTCTAATCTCTGCACAGATGACTGAACAATATTTCACACTCATCTAGCCTCAGACCCGGTCTGTCACAGGCACGTCTTAACACCTCCTTGACAAAATTTTACATGCTGCAACCAAGAAGATTCGCTCACCAGATAGAGGCATCCTGGCTGAATCCTAGTCTCCAAAAGGGCTTCTCATTCTCTCTTCCCTGTAATAAGCCTCGAATTCAATACGAACAAAAGTGCAGCAGCTACTCTGAAGAAGGGGGAAAAGGAACTGTGAAAGCATCAGTAGGGAAATCAACTACATATTTGGAATTCTATGGGAATAAGTTAACAAGAAGAAAACAGGCAGCTGGCAGGAAGAAATGTTAAGGAAATTATTGAGACATGATACACTTCCCGTCAAAACAACACACGAGGTGGTGATTCACTTGATCAGTATCTTTTAAGCGCTATGTGACTTTAAAAGCTCCATACGTTCAGTGATATTCAATTGTGGCAACGAAGGCATTTACTTTCTAATTTTAAGCACTAAACTGTTCAAACGATGCTGTGCTCCAAAATAAAAGCCAGCATGTACTCAGGGTGTCCACAGTAGTATTCTTTAATGTCACTAAAGGAAGATAAAGAACTGCCACTTGCCTCCCCTAGTTTAAAACTGGTGGCCACGGACGCAATTCAAGTTGTGCAGAGCTGTCGCCCAACAACAGAAACATTAGAATCAATTCCCCCCTTGATCCAACATTGAAAATTCTATAAAATTGCTTCCATTCTCAAGTGTCTGCAGTTGGGGGGGGGGGGGGGGGAAGAGCGTCTGTGTGTATGTGTGTGTGTACAGAGCTAGGTTTTTCCATACAAATTTAAAATATAAATTCATTATAAACATATTGCCAAAACAAATTTAAATAAATACAAAATAGGACTTTCAGTTTGATAATAACCAATTTCTCTCCTGCCCCTTACCAAACAGTTACGGTAAATGTTTTATAACAAACAATTTGAAATTCGAAAAGTTTAATTAGCAACAATTACATAAGTTTAATAAGAGTTTTCAAAGTAAGTGCTGAGTTATGACATCTGAAAGAATATTCCAATTATATTTATGAACTAAGTATACAGATTTTCATTAAAATGCCTATTTCTTAAGTTCACTTCTGTTTTTATAACGTCACTGAGGCAGATACATATTTACAATACAGATGATGTTTAGGAAACTATAACAACAAAACAAAGACTGGGCAATACCCTGATTCCCATTATCCCAGGCACATCTCCCAGGCGGCTGAGCGCACCTGCCCCCACCACCTCCACATCACAACACACTCTCTTTCACGGCTGCTGATCTGACAGCACTGGGAACTCCTCAAAAGCTATGAATATCCCCAAGCCTCTTCTCTCTAAGCCTCCAGCACCCATATAAGCCTGCCTCATAGTAACTACTAGCCAAGCTCAACTCAGTGAAGGATCAAAACTCTAGCAGAGAATTCCAGCTTCTGGTTCAAGATGGTGGAGTGGAAGGACATGGGCTCAGCTCCTCCTGCAAGAATACCAAAGCTGCAACTACCTGTTGAATAACCACCAACAGGAGAATGCTAGAACCCACCAGAAAAGAAACCTCACATGCAAAGACAAGAAGCTGCAGGGAGATGGCAGGAGGGGTGCAATCCCGACAAAATCAAATCCCATACCCACCAGGTGAGTGACCCACAAACTGGAGCACAATAATAACAAAGAAGTTCTCCCTCTGTTGTGAAGGTTCTGAACCCCACGCCAGGCTTCCCAGCCTGGGGATCCAACAAAGGGACTGGGTATCCCCAGGGAATCTGACCTTGAAGACCAGCAAGTCTGATTATAGAACTTCCACAGGACTGGGAGAAACAGATTTCATTCTTGGAGGGCACAAAATCTTTCCCACACTAAGACCCAGAGGAAAGGAACAGTGAACCCACAGGAGACTGAACCAAAACTACCTGCTAGTGTTGGAGGGCCTCCTGTGGAAGGCGTGGGTCGGCAGGGGCTCACCACAGGGACAGGGGCACCACCCTTGGCATAAACCCTCTGGGAGGGCACCGTTAACCCTGCTGTAGAGTCCAAGGCTAGGTTACTTCAGGCCAAAAAACTACCAGGGAGGGAGCCCATCAGCACCCATCAGCAGATCACTGGATTCAAGCTTCACTGAGCAGGGCCCTGCCCACCAGAGCAAGACCCAGTTTTTCCCACCACCAGTCCCTCCCATCAGGAAGCTTACACAGGCCTCTCAGCCTCCTCCATCAGAGGGCAGACAGAAGAAGAAAGAAGAACCACAGTCCCCACAACAGCTAAGACAAAAACATCACAGAAAGTTAATCCAGGATGAAAAAGCAGAAAGTTAAGTCCCAGATGAAGGGACAAGATAAAACCCCAGAAAAACCACTCAATGAAGTGGAGACAAGCAACCTTCCAGAAAAAGAATTCAGAATAATGATAGTGGAGATGAAGCAGGATCTCAGAAAAGCAAAGGAAAAGATGCAAGAATTGTGTACCAAAGACCTAGAAGAACTAATGAACAAACAAGCAGAAATGACTATAACACTGGAAGGAATCAATAGCTGAATAACTAAGGCAGGAGAATGGATAAATGACCTGGAGGACAGAATGGTGGAAATCACTACTGCAGAACAGAATATAGAGAAAAGAATGAAGACAGTCTAAGAGACCTCTGAACAACATTAAACACACCAACATTTGCATTACAGGGGTCCCAGAAGAAGAATAGAGACAGAAAGGACCTGAGAAAACATCTGAAGTAATAATAGCTGAAAATTTCTAAAACATGGGAAAGGAAATAGTCAACTAAATCCAGGACACACAGATAATCCCAGGCAGGATAAACCCAAGGAGGAACACATCAAGATACATAGTAATCAAACTGACAAAAACTAAAGAGGAAGATAAACTATTAAAAGCAACAAGGGAAAAACAACAAATAATGTACAAGAAGACTCCCATCAGGCTATCAGCTGATTTCTCAGTAGAAACTCTACAAGCCAGAAGGGAATGGCATGATATATTTAAAGTGATGAAAGGGAAAAACCTACAACCAAGAATACTCTACCCAGCAAGACTCTCCTTCAGATTTGATGGAGAAATCAAAAGTTTTCCAGACAAGCAAGAGTTAAGAGAATTCAGTACCACCAAACCAGCTTTACAACATATGCTAAAGGAAATTCTCTAGGTGGGAAACATAAGAGAAGGAAAAGACCTACAGAAAATAAACCCAAAACAATTTTTAAAAAACGGTGATAGGATCATACATATCAATAATTACTTTAAATGTAAATACATTAAATGCACCAACCAAAAGAGAAAGACTGGCTGGGCAGATGAAAACATGTGCATGTATGTACATCCACTCACCACATCACTCTGCTTGACCGCCTAAATTGTATGTTATTATTTTATATTGTTAGGTTAATCATGTTCCCATTATGGCTTGCAATTGTAATTATCTTTTATTTTTCATCTGGCTATTGACTGTGAAAGCAGATAAACATCTTTTACTATTGTGATTATGTAACTATTACTCACTTAATACCATTGTTTCATGATTGGTCAACAGAAAAATAACAGAACTCTATCAGCAAAACTAAGATTTAATACGAAAAAAAAACAACTCTAACAGAACTTTTAAACTCCCTGAGGTAGGAAAACTTTGGAAAGAACTCCTAGATAAATGTTTAGAGCCCCTACATCCAGTAAGTAAAATCCCAAACAGGAAAATGCCCAGTGTCCAAATCACCAGTACAATAAGATATCTTTTGAGGTGCCATGCCTTAAAATGGCAACTTTTCATGAGTACAATTTTGCTTTCTTTAATATTACTAATCAGAAGCTACATTAAATAACAGAGGTTTTATAAATTTGCTATACATTTTTTAAAAAAAAGAAGAAGGGATTTCATTTATTTGATTTTACAAATTTAAAACAAAGTGCAGGGAAGTGGCCAAGCGGGGGAGGAGAAAGAGAAAGAACCATTATAAGTGTTATTTTAGCTAAAAATCGGCATTTATCAAAAAATGCCATGATTATCAGTGCATATTCTCCACCTATCCTAAATGGAGTTAGGGACATTAATTCCTTCTGCTAAAATGAAATTAATACCCATTTTCAGTCATGTATGGATTCAATTAAAAATAATTACTACATTATTACTGGCTGATTCCACCTCACTGCTCATGAAGTATTCGGATAACAATAACATGAGCTCCCATCACAGGGAAACCTCAGGCTATGAACCACCATTTCTCCCTGCAAAGATGCAGCCCTGAAGTAGCTTCTTCAAACCCAGTTTCCTGAACAATTCAGATGTTGCCACTCGAGTGTCTAAAAGTGCTCTAGGAACCAAGCAGTCGGCTAGTAATCCAAGGGAGGCTCAAAACACCATCCTCACCTCAGAGAAGCACGGAACTGGAGAGATAGGATGTGCCATAGGAAAGGGACTGGCCCAACTCCTCAGGCTGCAGATGAGGTCACTAGGGCTGAGGTGACACGATCCCCAGTAGGTCCGTGGCAGTGCTAGGATTTCAACAGAAATTCTGCTTCTGCTTCAGCCTTTGCTGTCCCCAGACCATCTTTTTAAAATGTTCCTTTTACACAGAATCTACTATCATTTTTAAATAAAAGGCACAAAACACCAGCAATCATGTCCAACTCCCACTAAAAAAAATTCTTAAATTGAAATCCAGACATCTTGTCTGTGTCTATTAATTTCTGCAGCTACTTCTACATAAAGATGCCATACAGCCAATAAACATAAAGTTTCCTACTACGATGGTGAAAGAAAAAAGAAATGCTTATTCTATTTTTAATTTTAAGAAAAACCAACAAACCAATATCTAAATTCTACTTGGCGTTTCTTTGAAAATGAAAGTTTCCTTAACCTGTCCTTAGTAAATTTGAATTTTCCCTAGCTCAGCCCCATTTTTGTAACTAAACCAAGTGAAAAGCTAATTTGGGACTTTCTACAGATATGAAAGTCATCTACAGTATTCATTTTTATTGCAAAACAACCTAATTTAACTATATGTGAAACCTATTTCACCTCAACTTAAAAGTTTTTATTAAAAGGCCCCAAATCAAAAGCCATGAGACCTTTGCCTCATAATTTCTGTCCCATAGAAT